TGTGCCCGTGTAAAAAGAGACCTTTGGCACCTGTGTCCAGTGTTTGATAGTAGATTCGTTAGAATTTCATAATGTCAGCTGAAAATAACAATATAATTCCAATATTACCCTTTCTTTTAGGGGGCATATTATCAGTTGCTTACCATTGCAAACCTCATTTAGGCTGTTGAAGTTGGAAAATGGGTATATAAAATACCACATTTGGCATATGAAAATGACAGTGATTGTTTTCTTTCTATTTGTAAATTGCTTTTTTAACAAATTAAGTATTACTTTTTATGGATAAATACAATATATACTTGCATTGAGAGGACCAAGTGTCAACATTTTTACATCCTTATTAATTACATTTCATTCCAAAGATGATATACTCCTATGCATGCATTCAAAAAAAACATCAAATACATCTTTACAATAAATGAAAGACACAATGCCAACAAAATCCCTTTCTCTCATCAAACTATAAAATATCAAGAATAAAATATTACGTAGACTCTACAATCATTCTGGTTGTATTACGTCGTATATTACAATTAAAGAAACTAATTTCTCAGCGTAAAAAAACTAATTTCTCAGCCAAAAAAAAATCATAATCAATACAAAATATAAACTATTTTACATTCTTCAACACATTCATGTTATATTCTACCATTTATTGAAGTAAAACCTAAAAACCAAAATATTTTTAGAACAAAATCTTACTTAGTACAAATATGTCAAATAAGCCTAATTGAGAGTATCAAAAAAAAAAAAAAGCCTAATTGAGACAACTTTTCATGTTTTATTATAACATTCATTGAAATAAAACTACAAGACCAAACAAAATTCCAATTTTTCTTAGGAGAAATCTATAATTGATATAAATATATCAGAGAACTGAAATCAATACTCATTTGTACTCTATTATAATGTCTATTGGAATAAAATAAAATAAAATTCAAATTTTTTTCAAAAAGAAAAAACCCTAAACAACACAAATATTGGCATGTTTGCGAATTCTAATGACATCATCAAATTCTAGTGGTTATAGAATTGACACTAAAAACAGGAGTCTAGTATTATATGTGCACAAACTTTAGGGGTCTAAATATAATATCCCAAATATAAAAGAATTAAGTGATTAAGTGACAATCTCCAAGGAGACATAGTGTAATTAGTCCAATATCTTCTACTTTTATTTGGGGCATTTTGGCTTTTTACTTAGTTTTGGTAGCTCTTTATTCAATTGTCACTAACAACTAGGTTTGGCAATCGTGTCGAGTGAAACGATTTCATGTCGGGTGGAATGAGTTTGTGTCAAAAATTTTTTTATCCATACCCTATTCGTTTATATAAATGAGTCTAACTATTACACTCATACACGAATCGTTTATTAAATGAGTTATCCGATATTACCCATGTGTCACCCGCTAAATAAGAGAATAAGTTAGATAATTTCAAGTCTACATGAAAAATCATTTACTCGCCACATATTACACATGTTTAACCTATTTACTATAACAATAAAACATGACTGAACAAAAAAATAAACATTAAATGACTACTAAATTTGAATAATTCTGAGAGATGAGAGGTGTGAGATGAGACCGAAACTGAGAGACTTAACATGTTTTTTAAAAATTTATTGTACCACTCTTAACGGGTTGAAACGAGTTTATGAGCTAAACATGAAACCGGTTCGTTTATTTCACGGATTTGTCGAGTTAACCCGTCAATCATTCGAACCCATTAAGACTACACTGAAACCTGCTAAATCCGTGTCGGGTTCGTGTCGGTTTCACGAGTCGTGTCTAAAATTGCCAACCCTACTAACAATGGTTCTTAGTGTAATATTTTAAACTTACGGAGTCAATGTGATTAAATGAAAACTTCAGGATATATGAGTGTAATTTACCCCATTTCTAACTAAAAATAATGTTATGCTATAAATTGTAAAAATTACAGAAAATAGTATATTACATGTTAAGTGTATTGAATACTAAAGGCATTTCAAAAATATTAAACATGTTCATAATGCACCTTAGACAAAGGTAAATTTAAATTATTTCGGTCGTGTTAATAGGTACACCCGATGATAAATTGCTCATTTCTAAACACTTTGAAGTTGAAAAAAAACAATATTTCTCTGTCTTTGCGGTGTTAAACATAAAGATCGATCAATGCCTAAATTGTAACACATCGAAATAGGAATTCAACATAGAGTCTACATGTTGAAAGTACTCATCTTCAAAATCCGAAAATGAATCAGACATAACTGAATCACTCGGTTTCCTTTCATTTTTGTGTGGGGTTATTGGAATAATGCATTAAAATGGAACTATTGGGTGTCATATCCATTACTTGAAATTAAATATTTTTTTCCAAAAAAAATATATATATATAAAGTGAATATCAAAATCAATCAAAGCACCGTGGGGGTCCAAAGTGAAAAAAGATGAATGTACTTTTCTTCTTGGTGACCATTGTAACACACCTACCCATAACAATCAACAAGAAACACCGAATGAATCTCTCTGAGTCTTTATTTGGTGGACCAAATGTTTAGAAAATGAAGTAGTCCTTGTCATTTGTTTCAGGAAAGAGAAAACTACAATTTCATTGGGTTTGAATTTATATAAATGTAATGTATAAATATGACATTTAAAATTAAAAAAAAAAGAGTCGAAACCATTTCTACGTTTTCTTTCTTTATTTTTTCCCCAAATATTCAACAATCTATCACTTTTACGACAAATCTTTCCATTAGATGTAGAGATGTATCAATATTACAATCATCCTATATAGTATATACTATGAGTAGAGGAAAAGGCATCCAAAAAGAATCAAGAAGGGAAATTATCCTTGGGCGATGTTTGATATCGTTTGGGAGTATCACGGGTGACTATTGGATTAAAGTGTGGTAAAACCATTTATACAATTGGATCAATTTACAATATACTAAATTCAACTCGGCTTGATAGTTTAAAAGTTGGTTTTGATCTGATTCAATCAATTTGTTCAATGGTAGAAATCTAATAGTGTAGAGTGAGGCTAGATAATGTCCAAGGCATTACTCAATCCATCTAATCTTAGTAAACACAAAATAAACACCATATTAGTGCTACCATATATACTTAGTCAATTTTTTTTCAGAAACAGTGATTGATTCTATCACTCTTTCGGGCTTCTCTCATATCCTCTTTGGGTGTTTTTCCTTCTGCATAAATGGATTATCGAATCTTCATTGTAATAGATGATTTTTCATTCTAAGATCGGCTTATCAATTGTTCATATTCCACCAGAAAATACGAGATGTCATAATAGTGAAAATTACACATGTTAAAAGTGAAGGTACAATTGATCACGAGTATTCATGATTATGTTAGACCAAAACAGATTTTTTTAAGTGTAAAAAATTGAATTTTGGTCGACGATTGTTATTTTGAAAAAAATTTCGTGAATTCATATTCTATTCCGTGAGTAGAATAATTTAGTATATTTAATTGCTCAAATCGACATTTGTCTTCTGGCTGACATTTGTTTTTTTGGGTTGTGTCTTTTAGTACAGTGGCTGTCCAAAAAGTTACCAAATTGTCTATAAATACTCAGGCTCATTGTCATTTTACATCAATTCATTTGTTCAATCCATTTTTGACATTAAGGCAAACATTAATGCATTACGATCTACATATCAGCATTAAGGCAGTGTCTTGGAGAGTACACAACACAAATTTTGGTTCGCTGGACGAGTAGATTAGAGTACTATTTTTGCTCGTGTAAAGATCATTGTATTCTGGGATGCAGACACTCGGTATTCCATAAACACCGTATATGGGGGCGAAATCTGTCTTAAGGACATAGTGTCAAACACTAGCCTTAATTTACATCAACTTTAATAACAGTTCCTGTTCTGCAACCGGATTAGTATTTATATTAATTTGGCAAAAAGTTACATGTAACTCTTTTGTTTTTGTGTAACTCTTTACTGTTATTGTTTCGATAGAATAACTCGTTTATGTGTAACTCTTTACATGGTTCAAATCAAAATTTTCAATAAATGACTTTACATTATTTCGATAGCAGAAACAACAGATTAATCATAACATTTCATGACTGATTATACAATTTACCTCAACCAGTTATAATTTTACCATTTAAAGGTAACACTTGACTTCAAAAAATAATGACTTTTAGTATGATACCGAATTATTTTTTAGGTACGTACAGTAAAATTACCCCTCTATTAATGGTGATGGAGTGTGTGGAATAGAGTTGAAAGTGATTTCTTTCAAAAATAGGGGACCATCCTATTTAGGGTTTGAAGATGGAATGGGTTTGTAAAGAAATATGGTAGACAGTAGCCATCACGTATATAGCAACTTCTTAATAAAATTTCACTATCAGGAAAAAATAAAAAAAGAAATATTATGTGAATAACAATAATAGTATTAGTACTTAATTTAACCACCTCATTTAAAAACTAATGTATTATGCCCTTTGAATTGTTAATAGACTTTATTTCGTGTTGAAATTATTGTTAATCTAATTACTACAATAAAATAGTTATTCCAATTGAGTCTTAATAACAGAGAATGGTCATCACTCTCTTCTTGTCTACAACAAATAGGCCATACATTCACTTAAACTCTTAATCTCTCACTTACACTTAAGACTCTCTCACTTAAAATAGTTGATTTTTTACTTTTCTCTCTCACTTACACTCTTAATCTCTTTCATTCATATGATTTTAAGTTCAAAACGCATTGAAAAATAGCATAATCATAAAATAGTATAAACCCTCTTTCTTCGTTGAAAAAATGGCACAGCCATAAAATAGCATATATGTTTATAATAAGTTTGTAAAAGCCCCCGCTTAAAATTTTCCCTTAGAGCCCCAAATTTTATTGAGCCGGCCCTCGACCCGCAATATATGATATTGCTTGCTTTGAATTGGGGCTTGCATGGCTCTAACATGTATTGTATGATAAAATTTCAATCAAGGAGAGAGCGACAACAAGCGATCATTTGTTTTGGCTTTCAGCTTTCTTTAGAGCAGCCACCCTGCACTTCTCTTTTCTCTCGTCTTGCTTCATTTGTTGTTCCCTACACTCTAGGCTACAAAATGCAGTGTCCCCCCTGACAATATTCAAAAAAAGAAAGCAAAAACTTAATTATCAAAAAAGAATGTTTTACAATTAGTAATTTTACTTTGACCTAATTTGCAAATTATTGTCATAATTGATTGAAGTCAAAAAATTTCACAATGAAAAAATGTTATTGGGACCTAATTCAATTAAATGGAACTTACAATTAATTCAATAATTATATTAAATTAAGTCTCTGATTAAATCCCTGAATTAAGTGCGTATAGCATTGCTATTCACGATATCATGATCAATCACAATACTTTAAAAGTAAAGCTATTACAATCTAAAATATTGACCTAATTTATTACCATAACAATGTATTAAGTGATAGAATCTCAATAAAAAAATTTAAGAATTACGGTCATAATAACACAATTGGATCATGTCACTAACCACACCATTATGTCAATATTTTAAGAGTAATGTTAGTTGGTTCTAAGAATCTGACATAAATTATGAATTTAATAATGTGATTTTATTAGAATTAGTAAATCAATACCAAATTTAATTGTTTAATGAAATTCATCGTCAATCTAAAAGTTATAACGAGTTAGGTCAATTCAAATAACATATTTAAAAGAACAAATTAGTGGTCTACCACTGGTATCCCTACAAACATAAATAAATATAGTAATTTTACATTGATTAAATTTTGGGACCAAGTTAAGAGCTTAAATCACATGGCAGCTGACTTGAACTTTTTTATGTGGTGCCGTGTTATTGGGGCCTCAATAAAAAAAATTCTAAATAATCAAGTGTCATGTCATTTGGGCTCTTAATTTGGTCTCAAAATTTGATCAACATAGCATTACTCAAATAAATATTGGGTATAATTGTTATACTACGACAACGAGGTGTAATCATCTAATAAAAATATAAAATTTACTTATTATCATGGAAGTGATTATGTATCACTTAACTGGGTGGTCACGAGTTTTAGTGGAATTTACTTACAAACTTGTTTAATTATTAATAGACAGTTATACCACACGACTAGTTGCTTCTTGAAATAGTTACGCCCGCTATTTTTTCAACAAACACGCCGTGCCACCACACAACCGGTGGTACCACCGCCACCACACCCGCACACACAAATAAAACAGATTCAATACTAGCTGCAACCCTTGAATGAATATATCAAATTATCAATCCAAACCCAAGAAATTCAAACTGTTGGGGAGAGAGAGAGTGAGTACCTGTACATGAAGATGTCACGACCAGGTGCCAAACGGCGGTTGCAGAGACCACAGGTCCTCAAGAAATGAGCAGTCTCTGTGGAGTAATCACCTGAACCCTTTATATGGTATCTGGGTGACAACAGTGCCATCGACCGGTGATTATACTCACTTGGCCCCACCATAGTACGCTCAAGATCTGGTCCGTCCAACTTCTTCTTCACATCACCTATGATCATATCCCGATGATCCAAAGATGGTGGTGCCTCCACATCAGGCATATCAACTGTGATCCCAGTCATGCTAGTTGTCCTCCTTATCATCGGAGGCCTTCGACGCTTGCCCAGCATCACCAGGAGAGCGAGAGAGAGATTACGGTTACCTATACAGAAAGCAGAGAGAGTGTGAGTGAAATATGTATATGCATGTATATGTACATATGTTATTGTCTATATCAGTTGGTGTGTGTATGTGAGAGAGAGAGAGAGAGAGAGAGATAGAGAACTGTGTGTGGGTGGGTGTGAGGAAGAGAAGGTTGAGAGAGAGAAGAGTGGAGAGGAGGAGTGAAAATGGAAGGTGGAGAATGTAGTTAAACAGAAAGGGCAGGAGCTGAGGGTGAATCCAAGACGTTGATTTAATGCACCTATATGGGACGACCACGTCAGACATTACCTTTTGACTTTTCAGTAAGAGCAATGCTGCAGGCAACTTTTTTGAGGATCTAATTTAGAGCATTACCGATATGCTCAATAAATTTTGGGATTAAATTTAAAGTTTAAATAATATGACAGCATATTATTTAGAATTTTTATTGGAATTTAAATGATATGATACCAAAAAAAAAATTTAAGTTAACTGTCATGTCATTTGAGCTCTAAATTACTGAATTTATGGATTTAAAGACGTGATTTTAATATAACTATTAAATTAGTTATGAGTTTTAATATTAGATAGAGCTCATAACTAATCTAATGATAGTATATCATTAAATCTCTAAATTAAGTCCTTAAATTAGGTCTAAACAATATTTTCCATACTTTTTAAAATGTTGTCACTTTTTCCTTTTTTATTTAATTTTTTTCTTTTCCTCGGATTGGAATTGGGGTTGGGGCGTGGAAGATTTTATCTTTTTTTTTTTCAAACAGTTAAGAAGTGTCCGGATTAGTTTATATATACTTTGATTAATCTTCTCTTCAGTTTGTTTAAAGGCAAACTATCTATGCGGAAACTTAGGGTATTCATGAGAGATAAATCTCTTATAGTCTAATCTCAAAAACATTATCAAGTTTCAAACACATGACGTCTAGATTTACATCTCGTCTCAGTTAATATTTGAACTAGTATACTTTGTATTGAGAATATTAATAATTTGATCTTAGTTGGTATATAATATTATTGTAATTTTAATTGTTTTAAGTTTTTTTAATAAGATGTGATTCATTGACCTAATGTTGAATTGGGACCATTATGTTACTAAATCAAATTGGTTGGTTGTACTTTTTTTATGATAAATTATGCTCACATTTGACCAAATAATACAGAGACCTCCTGACATTTTTAAAATTGCACAACAACCCCCTAAAAATTAAAAATCATGACTAAAGCTCCTCTTTTGTCTTCTTGCCGTTAGTTTGACTAGCAAAAAATAGTGATATTAGGGAACAAAATTTATCTAATTCCAAAATTACCCCTTTAATTTATCTAATTCTAGGACAATCTTAGAATTTATCTAATTCTAGGACAATCTTGTCCACTAATTATCAATAATTAATCATTTTAACAACATTAATTACACAATTATAAAAATTAATCTAAGATTAACATTAGATCATTACATTTCATTAAATTTAATCAAAAATTATCATCAACTAGGATAATTAATTTAACTGGGAGTGGTGATGGCAGTGACAACTGGGTTGGGAAAGTTGGGTATAGTGGAGAAAAAGGGTGGGAGTTTGAGGGATTTATGAGAGAGAGAACGTTTAGAGTCATGGTGGTGATGGCAATTGGGTTGGGTGCGGTGGGGTTTGTTGCAAGGAATGGGTGGGGGGTATCTGAGAGGTAAAGAGAATAGAGAGATAGGGAGAGAAAGAAAGGGGTTGGGAATGGTGGCAGCTGGGGTTAGGTGCGATGTTGTTGCAGGGGCGGGGAGCCTAGGGGATCTAAGAGGGAGAAGGAAGAGAAAGAGAGATGGGGGTTGGGAATGGCGAGTTGGGAGTGGTGGTGACAAATGGGGTTGGGTGCAATGGGGTTTGATGCAGCAAGAAACAGGGGCCTGAGAGAGAGAAAGAAAGTTATGAGTGGTGAGTTTGGAGTGGTCGTGGCAGTTGAGGTTGGGTGGAACGGGGTTTGTTGCATGGAGGGACGAGAGCCTGAGGGATCTGAGAGAGAGAGGGGGGGTTGGGAGTGGTGGTAGCAGTTGTGATTTGTTGCAGGCAGGGGCTTAAGGGATCCTTGAGAGAGAGAGAGAGAAAAGAGGGGTAGGAGTGGTGATGATGGTGGCAGTTGAGTTGAAAGAGTTGGGTGCGATGGGGTTTGTTGTAGGTGGGGGCGGTGGCGGGGGGATTTGTGAGAAAGAGAGAGAGAAAGAATGAGATTGGGGTTTGGGTAATCTGAGAGAGAGAAAGGAGGAGGAGGAGTGGTGGCGATGGTCGGGTGAGGTAAGACATGTCAAGGGTAGGAGAGATTTTTTTTTGGACTTATTAATTTAATTTTTTGTTATATATTTTATTTATTATATATTTATTTTAAATTAAATTAAAGGGTTAAATTAATCATTTATCATTTATGTTAGCGTCAGTCACCTATTGACGGCGTCAAGGGATCTCTGCGTAATTTTAAAAATGTCAGAGAATTTTCGTGTCATTTAGTCAAATGTGAGAGATATGTGAATATAATTTATCCTTATTTTTAATATATTCCGATGCGTGTTCACTTTTAGCCGGTTGGGAATGCTGAGTTTAAGAGGTCTAACAAAAGTTAAATCTAACCGCCGCGGGGGGCCTAATAAATTGCATATAGTACCCACATATTTTTGACAAATTACTCTGTACCCACAAGATTACAAAATTAATCTTTTAGTTTATTCTCGATTAATCAAGGTGCACGTAAATTAGTTTGAATATTTTTCACCATCAAATTAAAAAAATATATATATACATATATATATACACACAAAAAATAATAAAAATACAAAACCTGCACAGACAAACACAGTTCTGTATGTCACCATTTCATACTCAACACAATGACTCAATTATTGTGTACATGTCGTCCACGGCCATAGTGCCTTCTGACATAATCCAATTCTTTTTGGAGAATTGGAAGCATTAACTATATGTTTGATTGCATAAGCATCATCTAGCGGGTCCCCTTCAATTGAGAAAATATATCGAAATATCTTGAAATAATTTAAAATATTATAAAAATATTTTAAAAACTTCTTAATGTTTTAAAATTTTAATTTAATCAATCATTTGTTTCGATCGCCTTAAAAACATAAACGTTTTGATTATTTCGATCATTTCGAAACAATATTTTAATGTTTAATTACATCTATATATATTACTCTAAAAACATATAGTAAGAACTAACGATTTAGTGGACCCACCATCACTATGAACCTTGCTCACATCTCCAAGGGGTAACTTCTCATCCGACGGCTCCTTTTTTTAATTTTTCAACTTTTCCCCTTTTCTAATTGTTTATTAACGATGCCCTCACCACTTGGTTAAATCATTATCAAAGTGACATATGATTTGGATTAAAATATTACTCTTCGAATTATTTAACCTTATTCACGATACAGATGGATTGAATTAGTAAAAACATCAATGCCTCTAATTTAACCCTACGCTAAGACTTGACATATGGAACACCCTCTGCGAACGAGTCTAAGGTGGCCAAACCCTGGATTGATCCGGACCAACAATGTGATGATCACATTAGCCTAATTGATATAGTTGTGGGCCTAACTTTTAACTCGTATCGGTTGGATCAGTTGGTTCAATAGTTGAGAGTTTTAAACCAGCCTTGGAACTACCAAAAATACTCCTACCTAATTGAATAATAATTAGAGTTTGTTAGAATTGGAATTTTCGTGTCATTTTTAAAAATAATAATCATTAATTTCTCAAACTTATGATTTTTTTAATTTTAATAGAAGTAGTAATTTAATTCAAATAATAAAAGACAAAAATCCAAGTGTGATCCATACAAGGCCCATCTAGACCAGCCTTTATTAGTAGCCCATTAAAAACAATGGGGCATGGTTTTTCACACTGGATTAACCCTATCTAGTCTTATCAGCTCGGTTAGCCCAACCCACTCCAATGCCGACCCTTAACCTATGTCAATCAGGTCTGATGTTCTTAAGCAACTGTGATATTAAATAAGATGATATTAATATATATATAGCAATAAGAGTGTCTTTATAGGTTGTATACTTTGTACAACAAGATGGTGTGATGAGTTAATAATCAAACATTATTATTGCAGGCCCAAATTACAAATGACTCTGCTCTCACACTGTATAATGGTAGTCTCCAGGCCATGCCCAAAAAAAGCCCATGTCAATTATGATTGCTAGATAGGACTGGGTAAATGATCCCGAAAGTGATTTGTCCATTGTATTGTCTCAGTCCAATGGATAAGTGCGGACTTTCTTTTTGGCCCGCCAAAATTCCCTCTATAAAAACTTCATTTTTTGGTTCTTTGGAAGCCAGTAGACCCGGTATACTTAATTAAATTTATTTGGTAAAAAATATATAAAATAAAATATTTTGGAAAAAAATATACAGCTGAGTTACAAAGACATAAATGTTCATTTTAGGGTCATTTAATTCAAAATCTCTTATCTTTATTGCACTTTGATTCATGCGTGTTTGTTAATACATATTTAATGCATCTTGATTCATGTGTATTTGTTAATATATATATATATATTTATTGTTAAATCCCTTATTTAAATTTTGAATTATCTTTAATGCACCTTGATTCTTGCGTATTTTTTTTTTTGGAAAGTAATTTTGTTTTCAAATTATATTTAATGCACCTTGATTCAAGAGTTTTTTTTCTTGGAAAATAGTTTTATTTTTAAATTAATTTAATATCTGAATAATGTAATAGTGTAACAATAACAGTGTAACAAATACACTGCAACAAAAATAATGTTCAGTTGTTTTATGTATGTGGTAACAAATTCAAAATAGAAATGGACTATTTTGAATGAAATTATATGAAACTATATGTTTGACAAAATGTAATAGTACAATATTTTGTGTAAATAGTTTGTTACATTGTTATTGTTATACTATTACACTGTTATACTTTTATTGTTACACTATTACAC